GAAGCTCTCGATTTACTGGTCAATCTACATTCTGACTCTCACCTATGGTCATGAGCTTTGGGTCATGACCGAAAGGGCAAGATCCTGGATACAGGCGGCCAAAATGAGCTTTCTCCACAGGGTGGCCGGGCGCACCCTTAGAGATAGGGTGAGGAGCTCGGTCACCTGGGAGGAGCTCAGAGTAGAACCGCTGCTCCTCCACATCGAGAGGAGCCAGCTGAGGTGGCTCGGGCATCTGTTTCGGATGCCTCCTGGGCGCCTTCCTAAGGAGGTGTTCCGGGCATGTCCCACCGGGAGGAGGCCCCGGGGAAGACCCAGGACACGCTGGAGGGACTATGTCTCTCGGCTGGCCTGGGAACGCCGCGGCATTCCCCCGGAGGAGCTGGAGGAAGTGTCTGGAGAGAGGGAAGTCTGGGCATCTTTGCTTAGACTGCTGCCCCCGCGACCCGGTCCGGGATAAGCGGAGGAAAATAGATGGATGGATGGAAGAACATACCTTATACATTTGTCCAGGTACCAGCAGCCCACCCTCTATTGCAGCTACACCTGTTCCTGCTCTGCCTCCAACAATCGCAGTGAACAGCTACCCCTCTGTGCCAGCTCCGCCCAGTGGCCAATCAGCAACTGAAACCCTTTACACCAACGGGGTTCATGCCTATCAAGGTACAGTCATCACATCCTCAGTAAAACGTTGCTGTGTTCCTGTCATAAAATATTTCTCCACAGTGTCCTGCTTTGATATGAGGGTCTATTTAAGGGAAAAATGAAATTAAGCAAATGCACTAAGTGTTGTTTGGAGCATGCTGATTTGCCCCAAGTAGCATTTAAGATGTTTTTTGTGCATACAGTAGTTGATGATGATATGCTTACTGTGTCACAGCTCAGAGTCCTGTCCTAGACCCCCTGCAGCAAGCTTATACAGGGATGCAGCACTATACAGGTGAGCCTCAGTCACAGTGCTGACTCTGTTATGGATGTGTCCAATATTAATTTATAAACTGTGACATAGACTGTCATTTATTTTAGGAAATGCATTGTTATGTATGTCTTGATTCTGCCACTGATAATAAGCTGCATGTATTATGTGTGCAATCAGTGTTTGAAGGAGAAAAGGAAAATGTACTAATTTTAGAGACAACAAATAATATCAGAAATACTATTTTTTTGTTTAAATAAAATTTGGTTGCTGGGCTTTTTTAAAGTTTCTAGAATTAGCTTTTCAATCTGTACCATAATGCAGCATTATGTAACTTAATTCGATGCAGCTAGCTACATTACCTTTGCACTCCCCGACTATCCAGCGCTGCATGTGTAATATCGAAATTTACACATGCACATATATTAGAAAATGTAAATAACTTGCAGCTCTTTAGAATGAGTCATACATCACAAGCAATATGCAAAACACCTCCCAGTTTGAGCCAGTCTGTAGGTGGTGGGACTGCAGCTCTGTCAGATAGATGTTCTTTATAGGAAAAAACAACTGGTTTGCAGTTCTGTGCCTGCCTCGTCACTGTTCTCTGCTCACCTGTTCCTGCTGTCCATCAGCCACCTACCCTGCTGCCTACAGTTTGGTGGGACAGCCATTCCCGCACGCCGCAACAGCTGCAGCAACGAGAAGGTAAACATAAATGTGGAATAATCATAGCTTAGATAAACATCCCAGTGTGTTGAACTGTTTTACTGTCTTTGTAGGAGTACCTTGGTTTCCAGACATTGTATGAAAATGTATTAGCAGACTTTTAAAACATACTTGGATCATATAATTGATCACTGTGAAGATAAAGTCTGCATTAATATTGACTAAGGCTGAAATTAAGAATTATTTATGATTGTTATTTATATTATTATTGCCATTATCAACTAATCAGTCCATTTTTAAAAACTATTTGATTAATTCTTTAACCTGTAAAGTCCCAGTACATAAGGAAAAATACCCATCACAACTTGCCAGAACTTAAGGGGACATTTTCAAACGTCTTGTGTTGCCCATCCAAGAGTCTAAAACCTGAAAGATGTTCTTCAGATATAAAATGGAGAAAATAAGTCAATGCTCACATTGGATTAGCTGGAACCAGGATGTCTTGCTTGAAAAATGAATGAAATTATTTAAGCAGTTATCAAAATGAATCCATTAATCAGTTAATCATTCAGATCTCATCAAAACTGTATTGTTGTTATGCCAAAATTGTTATTAAGCAGTGCAGATTTTCACATCATTCTGTATTTAAAGGGCTTTACCAAGCTACAATAAAGCAACATTTGCAGTCCATGTAAGACTGAACTGGAATCAGTGGCTGTCTGGAACAGGAGGAAAACACATAAAAACATAACCCTGTATTACATGCATTGAAAATTGTGTTTTCATTTTATTGCAATATGCAGTAGTCATTAAATTGCTGACCCTAGGCAAAAATGTAAATTATAAATTATCTATATTTAGGAAACTTTGCAAACACAAATGGGTCTGTGAATCAGCTCACTAAGTTGTGTTGGCAGGCATCTATGGTTCCCTTTGGACAAAGCCACAAAGGCCGTTTTCCTGTTGCTGAGCTGAGTTAAGCTAAACGGCGGCTGACTGGTGATATTCACTGTATAGACGTGATCAATATTGTAATATAAGTCTCAGCAAGTAAAATACCAAACGATTCCTTTAAATTCCCCTTTCTCTGTGATTTTATGTCCTGCTCTGGTCTATTATTCTGCTCCTGTGCTCTGTTTTAGTTTTTAGTTGCCTGACTTGTCATATAAAGCACCTCTTGAAGAGTTATATTTTGTGAGAGTCTCCTCGCCTATCCTGTCTTGTCTAATCATGTTGCATCTGTGTGTCTGTCTTTGTGTGCAGGTCCCGAGGGTTGTAACATCTTCATCTACCACCTGCCACAGGAGTTCACCGACTCTGAGATTCTGCAGATGTTCCTGCCCTTTGGAAACGTCATCTCTGCCAAGGTCTTTGTTGACCGCGCCACCAACCAGAGCAAATGCTTTGGTAAGTCACGGTGATGGCAGAAGAGATGGTAATGTCTGCGATGGTTATTGCTACCCTGCAGATTTTACAGACTTTCTTTCATATGTGAGAAAACACATTTTCAGCATTCATGTCATTTTTAGTTTTACTTGTCTGCACTTTTCCCCCATATATTATGCTGCCATTACTGTACCATGAATGATTGTGTTTGATTATTTCACTCCACCGCGGTTTCACTCCATTCAGGTTTTGTGAGTTTCGACAACCCATCCAGTGCCCAGACTGCCATCCAGGCCATGAATGGCTTCCAGATTGGCATGAAGAGACTGAAAGTGCAGCTGAAGAGGCCCAAGGATGCCAACAGGCCTTACTGAAGGGTGAAGGAGGTGAGTTATTGAAGAGACAGGGAGGGATTGATAGGCAGCTGGAGATATGTCCGGAAGTTACAGAGACAGCGGGTGTAACTGGGGGCTCAGTGTTTAAATGGCTTTCTTTCATGTGGAACTGAAGAAGTCAATAACCCTACAGTAGATTAACTTTATTGAGGTGGCAGCACTGTAAAAATACCATCAGTCTGAAATACATTACATGGGTCAGAAGATACCTGTGCTGTGTAAATGTGAGTCACTCCGTAGGGACACAATCTTATTGAGAAGTAGATTTTTGCTCTGTCTAACCAGTGTTCTGTCGTAGGGTTGAATGCCAACTACTGTTCATCATTAATTTTTTTGTTTTACTTTTCATTTATTGTTTTTGTGCTGTGCCACATGTCATTTTTCCTGAAAAAAAACATCACACCACTGTCAAGGCTGTCCTGTCCATACATATGTCGTGGATGACGTGCGTCGCTATGGCTACGGTTGCCTAGCAACCGCTAAAACCTCCCCCCCTCCTTCTCACTGCGTTGTAAGTTAATTGGCCTTTGTTGGTTGCTGTGGCGATATTGCCTGTGGTGGTTGCCATTAGCAATTTTTATTTTGGGCCGTTGCCTTGATTCACCATGCTCAACTGCATGGCGGGTTACTGTGGCGACCATGAACTGTGTTTGGTGCGTTGTGAGTTTCCTCTTATTATTTTGTCCTGGTTTTTAATCCTTGCAAACACTGATCAATAACTGTCACTTTACCTCAGCATCTGTAAGCAATTGATTATCATGACATGTTTTTTAAGCCCTCTTAAAAGCTAAATTATCCTGTTGTCCATTAAATATTGATATATTAGATTTTTTTTATTTGACTCTTTTTTGGTTTTGATTAGTTTCCTTTTTGTTGTCTGTCATGATTATCATTCTTACACATTCCTTCTGTTTAGCTGGTTGGTGTGGTAGTTTTTGGTGAGTGCGGGGTTTTCGTTTGGTTGTAACTCAATTCCAAGTGACTTTGTGCCTGAACTTTGGTTTTTGTGAGACTGGAAATGTACTGACCGTGCCCCTGTACTGTATATTGTTGACAACACAGTATTTGTGATTGAGTCTCTATAAGCGTGTGTGCTTGCGTGTGAGACTAAGAAGTGTTTATATTTATGCAAGTTGTTTTGTATTGAGTACATATGAAAACATATTTGTGTGTAAGTGAATGTGTGTGTGTCTTGTACCGACTGAGACACTGATCTTACATTAGAAGGTTTTGGGTAAAGCTGTTTGGTTCCTGTGACACGTGCTGCTGGCTGAGGAACTGCATTCCTCTGTAGGAATTCTGGGGCCTATTACCATCAGAAATACTAGCCAAAATACTCATCCTGTTCAAATAATACAATGCAAAATGTCAACCTCATATTGTAAACAACCAGAAATTCATAGTGGCTT